CCAGTTAGATTCTCCATTTCAACTAAAAGTTCATTCAAATACCAGTCAACTTTTTCTTTTACAAGTTGTTGAAGTACTTGAAGTTCTTTTCTTGAAAATTTCTTTTTACATCCAGGTGCTCCTTTGAATGGATTTATTACATAACCCCATTTAGCAAATGTTCTGAGAATATAATTTATAGTAGATTTACCAATGAATAAAGTTTTAAAAATTTCTTGTGCATTATAACTTTCACTTTCTAAATAAACTACTCACCAGCGAAAGTCTTCACTGTATTCTTGTGACATCTGTAATTTCAAAATTTATTAGAAAACTTGTAATCGCCAAAATCGAAAAAACAGAAACTATAATCGCTGAAATCAAAGAGAAGAAATCTACTATTATTTATGTCAAAACTTAATAAAAATAAACATTGGTGTATAGACAAATAAAAAATAGTGTGAAAATAAAATTATTTGTTTATTTGGTAGATTTTTATTATACACGATTGTGTAATATTTGTGGAATCTGCAAAAAATTTTTTGTATCACAGAACACCTGACTGGACCATTTCAAAAATAGCGATAATGTTAAAATTCTGTAATATTTTCGAAAATTTTCGTAGGTCCTATAAATTTATGGAATTTTAATGTTTATAAAATTTTCAGAATATTTTGCCCATTAAAATTTTCTGATGAATATTAGGCATGCAAATGTAAGAACAAGAAAATAATTAAAATTTCAAAAGTTTTGTTTCTTTTGACTTCAGTAATTTCTTTCAGTGAGTTCAACAAGAATTAAATATATCATTTTTATGTAATATACTTTATTTTATGTAATAAATTTAATTAATTTAATTAATTTATTAATTAAATAATTATTTATTTATAAATATTTTAGATGAAACTAATTCTGAAGAAGACTTTGATGATATTAACTATAATTCTGAAGATGATGGATCACTATTCAAATATAATAAAGAATTATTTAGTTTTTAATGAATGTAAATAATAATGAGGATTCTAGTAATAACTTTTCTTATTTTAAATGTAATAATAAATTTAATAATAAAAATGAATTAGAAATTAATGACAGAAGTGAAACTATACAAGATGAACCAAAGATTATTCTATTAGAAACTAATACCACTCTTCAAAAAAAAATTCCATATGTGATTATTGATTATTTAGAAGAAAAAATTTAAATATATGGTTTAATAAAAAATTTGAGAAGGTTAAGAAATTTGATTGGAAGTTGAAAAATAGATAGAGATATAGTTAATAATATTAATGAAGATTATTTACAATTAGGTATATGTAAGTTTTATTTTTTAAATAATCAAAATCAATTGAATAATAATAAAGACAAACAAAAAAGAGTCCTGAAGCTTCTATCATTTAAAAGTATCATTGTATAATTTGTAAATATTATTTTACTATTTATAATTGTGAAAAAATATGTATAAATTATTTGTTGATTTTTAATAAACATAATCTCATTGTTTCTTGTAATAATCAATTTTTATATAATACATTAAAAAAGTATCCTTCTTTATGTTATAAATATCAGTTAAAATGGATCAACTAAAATATATATGTTTAGAATGTTATCAAAAAAATAGAGGACATGTGCATATATGTTATAATAGAGGATGAAAACCTTTAAATTGTTTACAAAATGAATTACATGAAAAAGATATATCATGTGAATTGGAAATAATTGTCAAATGGCTATTATTAGAAATAACATAATTATGTTATTTCCAGTTAGTCTAAGTTATACTTGTATACAAAATTATTTTGAAACTTCGAAATTACAATTTCGAAAAAAAAAGTCAAAATAGTTTTTTATAGAAGACAAAATTATTTACTTAAAATTCAAAATTTTTTGACCAGCCAAATTTATTCTTTAATTAAATATACACATAACTGAATACTTTTTTTACTTCTATATATAGAATAGATTTTGTATAAATCTCAAAAAGTCAAAATACCTCAAAAATCTAAAATCAATTTTGGAACATGTATAGTCTAATTATTTCTACTCATCCGTAATGTGTAGATTACATTTGCTTCATCATTTAAGTGACGTGCATTTTGCATTTGTCTCATCATTTTCAAGTAAGTATAACCTAAATATATATCCATTTCATAATGTGCAGATCACATTTGCTTTATCATTCAAGTGATATGCATTTTGTGTTTGCCTTGTTATTTTTGAGTGGGTATAATCTAAATGTAGTATATATCTATCTCATGACATGCGGATCACATTTGTTTCATCATTTGAATAACATGTATTTTGCATTTGCCTTAGTTAAGTAATTATGTAAAATTTGTATATTAGATTATTGTTTTCAATTAATTTTCTTTAGAAGTGAATAGTGAGTCAAGTTATGATATAATGGCATGCATTGTTACAGAATGAAATCATTATGAAAAAGTATAGTATATAATATTAAAAACACCTGCAAATAATTAATAATAATTTTAGAAAATAGTAGTGTTTAAAATTTAATTAGTAAATATTATGTTAACTCATGTAACAAATAGAGATGTGATCTGTAAATGACCAATCTGTCAATCTGACGGATTATCCGTGATATCACGGATTGATAGATTACTTTTTAAAAATTTATATAATCCAGATTTAAAAAAAAATAATTCAGATAATTCGGATATATATATCAATCTGCGGATTAAAAGATTAATTTGCGGATCAAAGGATTTAATTCAAATTATTCTTTCAATCCTCAGATTACTCTTTTAATTCACGGATTACTCTTTCAATCTATGGATTAGAGATGTGATCTGTGGATGACCAATCTGTCAATTTGACCGATTATCCATGGTAATACAGATTAACAGATCACTTTAAAAGATCTGGATTAAAAAATCTACCTTAATTTTCCCACATTTCTTTTTTTATTTATTTAATAACATGGCGTAGAGATGTCCAACAACTACTGAAATGTTTGCATTGGTGAGGGGAATCGAATGAGCTATAAATTGGAAAATTGGATCACAGGTTATTGAAATCAATATTTGATGTAGATAATTATAAAAGAATTTTATTACTGATTAAGCATATTTTATTTAATAACATGACATAGAGATGTCCAATCTGGATGAAACAACTACTGAAATGTTCGTCTCAATGAGGGAAATCAAATGAGCTATAAATTGCTAAAATTGGATCACAGGTTATTGAAATCGATATTTGATGTAGATAATTATAAAAGAATTTTTATTACTGATTAAGTATATTTTATTTAATAACATGGCGTAGAGATGTCTAATCTGGATTAAACAACTATCAAAATGTTCGTCTCGATGAGGGAAATCGAATGAGCTATAAATTGCTAAAATTGTATCACAGGTTATTGAAATCGATATTTGATGTGGATAATTATAAAAAAATTTTATTACTAATTAAGCATATTTTATTTAATAACATGGCGTAGAGATGTCTAATCTGGATTAAACAACTATCAAAATGTTCACCTCGATGAGGGAAATCGATAAGCCATAAATTGCTAAAATTGGATTACAGGTTATCGAAATCGCTCTATTGGATATAAATAATTATAATTTATTATCTATGGGAAAAAAATAATTCACAGATTGGACAGATAATCTGCGGATAGATGGATGATCTACAGATTGGACGTATGATCCACAGATTGAATGGATGATCTGCATAATCCGCAGATCAATTTATCCAATCTGTGGATAATTCACGGATTGATCAGATTGACTATATAACAGATGACGAATTGAAAATTAGATAGTAATACGAATTACTGATCACGCGAATTGATCTGGATTACACCTCTAGTAACAAATAGTAACGCTTAAATAATTTTAGCTAATATTTATAGTCTGTAACACACATTAATTAGTTGTGGAATAGTAGTACAAGATTACATGTTCACGTAATATTTAGTTATACAAATATAACTATCAATTCATAGTATTAATTATTATCATTTAACATTATTTTAACAATAATTATTAACATATAGTATTAATTAGTATTAGATATATTCAGTAAATAATATAAAGGAATAGTAACCAATAATAGTAGTGTACAGTAAGGCACAATAATGGCACAGTAATAAAAATCATTAGATTTAGATATAAAAAGGGACTGAAATTACCTTGCCATTTTTAGTTTACAATTTTATAATTTTGAATTTTGATAATTTGTAACTTATTTGAAATTGATAAATTTAATTTTATAATTTGTAACTTCAAGATAAATACTTGTAAAAATTACTCTGCAATTGAATTAATAAAATAATAAATATTGAAAATATTAAATAGAAGTCTTATTAAATAATAAAATGTATAGTTTATAAAGGAATAATGGATATTATGGGATTAAATATTTGATTGTATAATTGTATAATATTATTATTCCTGAGTTAATAAAATTAATTATAAACTATTATTATAAACCCTGGACTTGAAATAATAATTAACCTAAATAATTGGAAATAATATTTAGAGTCAATGAAATTAAAAGATGATTAATGGATGGATATTAATATTAAGGATGATGATGAACTTGAAAAGATATTGAAATAAATTAAATGAAAGGTCTGATTCTCTTTCTAAAATAATTGAATCAGTGGTACCTTCTAAAATAATGAAATAACAGTCTTACCTTCGGAAAAGGACTATAAACTCCTTAAAGAACCATTAAGTCACTTTCTTAGGTGGTTCTTGAGAAAACCAGGAACCACTGGTGACAGTATATATTATCCTTAACTTTCTAATTAATTCCTCAATAAGGACCAGGTTTGAGGTACCTAGTACTAAATAGTATCCATAATCTTTATATAATTCATTCTAATACCGATTAAAGATGAAACATGTAGTGACGAATTGCTATCTATTATAATGCACTCAAATATTAATTAAGGTTGAAACATGTAGTGTCAAATTGTTAGCAGTTGTTAGTTTTGTATAATTCATTTAAATATTATCCAATGATGAGACATATAGTACCAAATTGTTATCTTTACTCAGTGACCTATCAAAGTATAATTTTATATATCTATATTCTGTAATAATTATTCCTTGATGGTTCACTTTTTTTTACCTGAAATACTCTTTACTTAATACTTATCAAAACATAATTTTATATATATCTATATTTCTGTAATAATTATTCCTTGGTAAGCATAAATTTTTAAACCATTTTGTTACTTTCTTGATTAATCTTTTTTACTTATTATTTTTTATATCGAAAAATTCTTGATGGTCCAAAAAATATTACTTATTTAATATACTTAAATATTAATCAAGAATAAAGCATATAGCATTGAATTGTTATCTCTTATTAGCTTTATAGTATGCATTTAAATACTGATCAAGGATAAGGCATGTAGTATCAAATTGTTATCTATTCTAATGTACTCAAGTATTGATCAAGGTTGAGACATATAGTGTCGAATTGTAACAGTTGTTAGTTTTATATAATTCATTTAAATATTGCTCAATGATGAAGTATATAATGTCAAAATGCTAATAATTATAATATACTTGAATATCAATTAAAATTATTCAGACATCTTTTTAATTTTTCATACACGAGATCCCTTATATCCTAATATTTGTATTTACTACAAAGCTGAAAATTGAAAAAGAAAGATTTAATTATACATACATTATAAATATCAAATCACAAATCATTATACCTTTTCTATTTTACTAATATCACTTTCAATTGCACATTCAAATTTCTTTAGCTTGATGTTTATTTGTACCAGAGCCTTTGCTTTAAAGTCTAACTATTCTTCACCAAACCATGAACACATGTCACCAGAAAATTTGGAAGAAAAGTTAACTATTGAGAAAAGTTCAAATCTATACAAATGATTATTGAAGGTTAGTATTCAATATTATAAAAATACAAGAAAAATAAATTATATACCATATAACGTTCAATGTGAATAAATTTAATTTTTTCCTTTTGAATTGTATTTCCTTTGCTTGTTCAATAATCTTTGATATCATATGAATAAGAATATTATAAACTTTTTCACCATTTTTCAATGTTCAGTCCTCTCTATCTTTTCTTGATTTTGCCTATAGATTGAATAAAACTGTATCAAAATTAATAATATCTTCTTTCTTATTTTCATTATCATAATCTTCTTTTTCCTCTTCACATTTTTCATTTTTATCATCCTCAAGC